TCAGTGGGTGTGATTGTGGGGTGGATCAAGGGCTGCAGCTAACAGAGGATGCACTGCTACAGCAAACACCGTGCTGCTGAAGCTCCAGATGAAGTTGCCCGAACGTCACCGTCACTGCGTCACCAGCCTAGCGCCCTGCTTCTCGTCCCGCAATACGCGCTTGGGGATGTCAGAGGTCTGATGGCTCATGATAAATGCTTTCAACATGTGTACGGCAATCTGCGTTGGCCAGATCGCCTAGAGTGCCACCATCACAGTGATGGCGGACAGCAGGATGCACCACGCTGAGGATTCAGAGATTCTCGACGAATTCGATGGTCACGCCGAATTCGAAGCGTTGCTGTCGGACGCATTCATGTGGGGCCCGGACAGCGGCGACGCGGCGCGAGCAATGTCAGCGCTGTTCGGACACCCACCGGATGCAGCTGATACGCACGGTAGCACAACGGCACCGCCACAGCAGCTGCTGGGCGGCCTGCTGCGCACGCACGGCCCGCACATGAGCCCGTTTTCCGGGCTGCCCTCGGCTTTCATCTTTGGCGCTGCAGCGGGTGCGGAGGCAGTGCCCCACCCAGTAGAGCACCCCGCGGAAAGCCAGCCGCAGCAGCAACAGCAGCACCAGCAGCAGCACCAGCAGCACCAGCAGCACCAGCAGCAGCAGCCACCTGCCGCGCCGCCCCCGCGGCCCCCGAGCCCGCAGCCCCCGCCCCCAGGGCCGAAGCGCGGCCGCGGCCGCCCCCCAAAGACGGCGGGCGAGTACACCGAGAGCTACAGGGCCGTGAAGGAGTACCGCAACCGCAGCAAGCAGCGCATGAGCGCGCTAGAGCAGGAGCTGACGGAGAAGCTGGGGCAGCTGCAGCTGCTCACCGCAGAAAACCAGGCGCTGCAGGTGGGGGGGCGTGGCGGACGGTGTATGTGCATATGCGCGTGCTTGTGTGCATGTGTGTGTGTGGGGGGGGAGTTGCATTCATGCGTGTGTGTGTGTGTGTGTGGGTGTGTGGGTGTGTGGGTGTATGAGGGTGTGTGTGGATATATGTGCAAGCATGTGTTTGGACTGTTTATGGCCTTTTTTAGGGGGCAGGGCATCTTGTGTGTGCACAGCGGCGTGTGATCTGTGTGGGCGGCAGGTGCATGGGTACAAAACATCGCCTCGATGCTGCAGCCCACACCCACCCACCCACGCACCCATCTACCCACCCATCCACCCACCCACCCATCATCCGACACCCTGCTGGCTCTACGCCCCCTCTGCAACCCTGCACGAACCCCAGCCGCCCAACAAACCACTATCGCCCAACCAAGCTCGCCTGCAACCACCCCCATCCACCCCCAATCAGGCGCGAGAGGTCGTACTGCAAGAGGCCATCAACGCCAACGACGCAGCCCTCGCGCGCGAGCTCGCAGAGGCAGCCGCGGCCGAGGACGCCGCCACTGCCGGAATCTCCACGCCTCCAGACGGCAGCGCCGCAGCACCCAACCAACACTCGCAGCACTTGCAGCAGCAGCAGCAGCAGCAGCAGCGACGGCGGCCTGGTGGGGTGGCGCCTGCAGGAGAGGGCAGCCCGGGCCCGAGCCCCGCGCTGCTGGAGATGCTTGAGCTGTACCGCGAGTACGTGCGCCGCCTGCGCGCGCGGCTGGGGCCCGATGGCGCGCTGAGGCCGCTGGCGCCGTGGGAGGAGCGGTTCCCGCCGGGGCGGCTGTTGATGAAGCTGTTCATGGGGCTGAGGCAGGAGGAGGGGCTCGCTTTTATCACATCAAACCTGGTGAGGCACAGGTCTATTTTCAAACAAATATGGTATTCATGCCGTATGATGTGTTTTTGAAATGTATTCTATCTATTTCGTTTGCCATTTCAGTGGCGGCGTGGCGCATGCAAGGCTGATGAGCGCGCCGCTGCCGCGGCGCGGCCGCGCCTGCGGCAGCCAAGGTGGCGATGAGGGGTGCAGGGCCAGTACGTGGCGTCGGGGGATGCACGGCTGGCCCGCCTCTGCGCCCTTGCGCTTTGCCTGCGTGATGCAGACGGGGACTGGTAAGGGGAAGGCCGCAGCCCCCTGCTGCGGAGGCGTCCTGGTGCTGCAGCGAGCCAGGGCGTGCTGACGCAGCCGCGTACGCGACCGTGCGGCCGCAGGAGACCGGGGAGCGCACCACTGAGCTGCCAGAGGGCTGGTGGCAGCGCGTGGCGGAGGGCCTGTACCTCAGGTGCGCAGGGCATGGGAGGAGGGGCCGCGAGGCTACGGTGAACGGGGTGGGCGGAGCAAGCACACGTGCGGCGGGAGGAGCTGGCCCCGCCGCCGATCCAGCGGCAACACCGGCCTGCGCAGAGGCCGCGCCATGTCCCTGCGGCCCGCGCCTGCCGCCTGCGCCTTGGCCCTGCTGCCTGCGCCCGACCTGCCCCCTGGTGCCACATGGTAACCTCAGAACGCCCCGCCACGCGCCCCAACCCCCTCGCACCACAGGCCCGAGCAGCACGCGCGCATCGCCGCGGCCATGGAAGAATTCCTGGGCGCCGCGGACCGCCTGCTCGCGCAGCGCCGCCGCCTGCAGCTGCGCCTCTCCGACGCGCTGCGGCGCCTGCAGGGCGGGGTGCCCGCGAACGCCGACACGGCCGGCGCGGCTGCGGCCGGCGCGGCTGCGGCGGGCGGGCGGCTGGAGGGGGGGCCGTGTCAGGAGAATGGGTTGGCGTCTGGGCAGCAGGTCGCAGGGGAGGACCATGAGGAGCTGCTCAACGCACTGCACGCCAACCTGGTGGGTTGTGGTGGCGCGACGAGGCCTGACAAGGGGGTTGGGGGGCGAACGGGAAGCTTGGCTCAAACGTGTTTGTGAGAGCGAGACGGTGGCTTTTTCTTGAGAGTGTCGCGAGCCGACCCGTCGTCTTTGCGGGGGCTGCATGCGCAGACGGCGCATGGCATGCCGCGGCTTGCAGCGCGCCGGCGCGGGCGCCTCGACCCCCCTACGTCTGCACCCAAACGCCTGCTCTGGCGCGTCTCCCGACCCCCGCTTTTGCTCACACGCCGGCCCCACCCCACCCTGCGCCCCCGCGCCCCCGCCCCCCCGTCTTGACATGATGACGTCAGATGCGGGAGGATCGGGTTTGGGCGACCACCGCCTGGGCCCTGAAGCTGATGGTGGACGAGCAGCAGATAGGCACTGTCAGCCTGCTGTCGTGGCCGTTTGTGCCCCGGTTCGTGCAGATATGCGCCGCCAAGCTGGGCGTCGGGCCCGCGGCCGCGACGGAAGTGGCGGCGGCTGCGGCCGCTGCTCGGCGGGGGTGAGGGGGAGGGCTGGCTCGTCTGTTGTGTTTTCAGTGGCCTGCAAAAACCTGCCGCAATTGCTCCTTCCTTTCTTGCTAACGAACTCATATGCAAGACTTTGTACCTCACCTGCCCAGGTGTTCACGGCCAGCAATGTGTTTGCCTGTGGCACTGCAACCGTCAAGTTTTCGTGTTGGAAGGGGCAGTGCAGAGTGCAAGGAGGGCAATCAGGAGGGGAGTGTGGGGCAGAAGTGTAGCCAGGGCCCTGGCAGAACAGGGGCACAAACGTGGGGCATCATCGAAAGGGCAACACGTCACATGGAGCGCGAGGCACTGCAGCAGTTGGCGGAACCGCCATGAAACTTCTCCCTGTTGTCTGCAGACGCCAGCGCTTGCCGTCCAACCTAAAGCAAGCTGCCTCGACAGGCAAGATTACTATGTGAACGGGATCCAGGGTCCTGTGGGTCGGGTGTCACTCCATTGAACTTCTCTTTCAAAGCTACGGGGGACTCATTTGATATCGAGTGACATCGATGCTCACATCATTCGAATGCACTCTGGAGTATGATAAGTCGTCTACATTCACTTAAACTTAGGATCGCGTAACCGCAGCAGCAGAGAGTTCTTTGCCTAGTTCACACACTTCCGCAACACTCGACTTGGACCGAAGGGGGCTTCCAGCCCCGTGCCACACACATATGCAAGATGCCATAAGGCTGGTGTTCCGCTGGCAAACTGAGGCGGAAGCCCAGCGAGCCATGGCGACACTATTTCCGCACAATGGCGGTGCGCTCCCGGCGTCGCATAGCAGCGTACACATGGGCGCTGCGGTGCGCATCAGCCCCTTTGCCATTGCCGGCAACGTGGGTGACCTGGAAGTCCTGCAGTCCCTGCAGCCTGTGCAACATGGACCCCCTGCCGCAGCCTTGTCCAGTTGGCCACGCACCACTGGGCCTGCATGGGCTGAATCGCCACTGCCGCTCACCGGCGCCAGCGCCCCCTCAGCAGCGGCGCAACCGCCAGCCGCACCGGTGCACGCCGTGGCGTCCGAGCCATGCACTCAGCGCCTGTCCGCGGTAGTGGCTGCGGCAGCCCCGGCCAAGCCGCTCGCCTTGGAGGCTGCGACTGCAGTGGAGGGGCTGGCGGATGTGGGGCAAGCACCGGCCGCGAGGCGGCGTGGCCGCAAGCCTGTGGAGGGCCTCGTGCACACCAAGGCATACATGGCCGTCAGAAACTACAGGGAGCGCCAGAAAAACATGGTGCGTGCGTGCGGGCGCGCCATGGGCGCGACATGGCGCGGGGCAGCTGCACACGCGCTTGTTGGCTCGCCCTTGCAGCGAACAACGATGCCCAGGGCGCGCATGCCCTACGCATTTGCTTTACTCCTTGTGTGTGTCCTGACGTGCAAAGAGCCAGGCATCCAGACTAGAGGACCAAGGGAGCACGTGCACCCACCCATGTGAGTGCGCGCACCTGTTGATGCGTGTGCACATCCCACACGATAGGCCGAAGGCCTGGAGGCGGAGGTCAAGGCGAAGCTGGCCCAGATGACCCTGCTGTTGGCAGAGAATGAGGCCTTGAGCACGCGCCAGAGGGCCCTGCAGAAGGCCATAGACCACAACACACTCAACATAGAGGCGCTGCAGGAGGAGCGGCGGGAACGCGAGGGCGGCCGCCCGTGGCAGCCGGGCCTGTACACCGCGGACGGCGGCGCCGAGGGCACGGCCAGCAGCGACGGCAAGGGCGGTCCAACATGCAGGAGCGATGGCAGCGTGGGCAGCGTCGGTGACGCAGAGTCTGGGCCAGCGGTCGCAGGCGCCGCAGCGGCGGAGGAGGCCCGCAGGGAGCAGCTGGGGGGGTTTGTCAGGCGGTACGGCGCGTATGTGTTAGGGGCGAGGGCGGAGCGCCTGGCGGCAGACGGGGCGCTGCTGCCGTTGGCAGAGGGGGACCCGCGGCTGCGGGAGTACCAGCAGCTTCTTGATGACATCATGGCGCTGCCTGATGAAGACCAGTACCTTCTGCTCACTGCCAACCTGGAGACTGGGCAGCAGGGGTCGCACGATGCGGGGCTGCTGGGCAGGGTGGCGCGGCAGATGCGGCTCAGGTGAGGGGCAATTGAGAGGTGGGCGCATGCACAAGGTCGTGCATGCGCGCGCATGCACGTGTGCATGGTGTGTGCAGGCATGCATGAATGGATGGGTGGGTTGCTCGACAGGCACATGTGCCTGCTATGAGATTCACATGCTCATGTGGGTTGCAAGGCAACTTAGCCTGCCCTCCACAACCCCGCCGTTGCCCATGAACGCAGCCCGGACCAGCAGGCGCAGGTGCTAGCGGCCTGGCAGGTGTTTGAGTCCGCCCTGGCGCGCCTGCTCGACGAGCGCCGGGCGCTGTGCGCCCGCCTGGCGGCGCTGCAGGCGCACCTGGAGAGCCTGCCGGAGGACACACCTGATTTCGACGAGTATGAGCTGGCGCATGCGCTGGAGCCCGGCATCGCGAGCATGCTGAAGAGCGGCAGCCTGGAGGAGGTGGTGTGTGAGCTCGAGGACAACATGGTGCGCCGCCAGGTCGGGGGTTTGCGCGAGGGACGCAAGCATAGATGACCAGGGTGCGCGTGCGAAGGTGGGCGTCTGGGCGCGAGGCTGTGTTGGTCAGCCGGATTGCGCGGTGAGACAAAACGGGTGCAACGAACAACGCCGTCCAGAACTCAAGCCTGATTCTCAATCCCCTCACTCATGCGGCTCTAAACCTCATTGTCTACCTGTGCCACCTCAGAAGCGCGAGAACCAGCAGTGGTGAGGTTTGGTGCAGTGGTTGTTTATAGCATTCTGTCTGTTCAGGTCAAGGCGCTGCCGTACAATCGAGCCGTAATGCATCAGGCACTCTGCAACATCATTGCGCTTTGCTCACGCCCTCACATGCACGCGCACTCGGACATCGCACATGTGCCTCTTTTCCATGACACAGGAAGAAGTCTCAAAGTCTGCGAGCGCGCGCGCGCACACACACACACACACACACACACACACACACACACACACGCGCGCGCGCGCGCATGCTGCCCACCACACCCTAGGAGCATCATGTCCTGGAGCCTCAACCTGATGCTCGAGGAGCACCAGCTCACCCACATGTGTGTGCTGGCCTGGCCCTACCTGGTCAGCCCCACACAGGTTTTCGCAGCCTACGTTACCGAAGTCCTTGGCCGCGTACCCACCTGCTGCCCTCCCCCGTCCTGATCCCATCCGTGACATCGCCATGGTGTTTTGCATTGAGCTGGACTGAGCGTTGTTGCACCACGATGCTGTGGTTTGCGCAGCGCTGCACACGCCAGCCTGCCATTACATTCAGGTGATGGAACGGCTCACAGCTGTTTTCACGCCACACATGCACCTTGCTTACTCCTTGCAACTGTCTTTGCATATGCATGTGCTATGTGCTGGCAGCACCTGAGGCACATCGCAGGGATGAATTCCAATGTGCCCATGCCTGCAGCCTAACACGGCAAGCAGGTGTGGTAGATTGCTCACAACCAGCATCGCAGCTTGCAATTCCATTGACATTGGTACTTACTCATGAATCAATATCTTCGTTCACAAACCTTGGGATGAGGCACCCGGTACATGAATGTAACGCCAACAAAAGCGCCAAATGGGAATGAGTCAATGTCAGAAGTTCCGCAGATCTTCATGCAGATTGAGCTGGAAGTGTCAGCAGGACAGCTTGGTGTGTCCCCTCAAGATATACTGGCCAGGCCCACGCCTGGCTGGTTGTCTCGGGGCACAAATTGAATGCCTTGCGAAGATGCACCCCGGAGCTGCCATGAAAAATTCTGCAAAGCCCGCCGGGTGACTCGACCTGGCCTTGCGCGGGCAACGAGCAATCCTTTATTGAGAATTGATCCAAGCCCGCAGTGTTTGCTGGCTGCTACCAAAGAGCCACCCGGAGGGCGCTGTTACGCAAGAATGCTGCCTTGCGCGTCCCTGTCGCATCCGCCCGCGAGGTGCCTCCTGGAGGCACCCTGCGCCCAAGGCACAATACCAATCGGGCGGATCAGCCAACTCTGAAAAGCTCCATACTTTGCCAGAGTGTTGCTGCTGGCGTGCATGGTGCCCACCAACGCGGCATCACCCGTCGGGACGGTCGAATGATCGAATTGATCATAGAGCAACCGCGGATTTCCCGGGTTGCGGGTGATTAAGACAGTGAAGTTTCTAGTCTCTCTCCTGTCAGGGGTGTCATTCAGCCTGGTGGCAACGCACCTTTGCCACTACAGCGCACCAGCACTGCTGATGCAGCTGAGCGCAAGTGCACCCCGCACTTGATCGTAACCGGCGCGCGCGCCTATGAAGGATGCGCTGTGGTCGGCATTCCGATGGGTCAGCGAGGGCGAGGCGGACAAAGCCATGGCTGTGCTCTTCCCGCTAGGCGTGCCTGCTGGCTCCGGTGGCAACCTGCCGACTGGTGGCGCGGCCAGCAACCCGTTTGCGGGCCTCTGCGATGCGGCTGACGTCGCGCTTTTGCAGCCACCAGCGCGAGCAACGGCCGCCAGCACCAGCGGCGCTACCGCCACGAATGGCTCGCCCGCCGCAGCAGACGCCGCCGCGCCAGAGGGACGCCCCCAAGCGTCACCGGCAGCAGCTGCGGCGGCCAAGGCTGCGGCGGCGGCAGCGGCTGCTGTCGTGGCGGCCCACCACAACTTGGCGGCGCCCAAGCGACGTGGCCGGCGGCCGTTTGAGGGCGTCAGGTACAGCAAGGCATACCAGGCTGTCAGGAATTTCAGGGAGCGGCAGAAAAGCATGGTGTGCGGGGCAAGTTGGGGGCCGACAGGCAGGCCTTGCTGGGTGCCAGATGCTTGATGCGGTGCGGTCACCGTGCGTGTATGTGCGTCCCACACAGGATTTTGCTAGGATTTTCGTGGTGTGGAGCATGGACATCCACGCCTGTCCATCCGTGCATCCAGGCGCCTAGCACAAAAATAGTCCCCCCGAGCTTGCACAACAGGCACGCGCCCCCCCCCCCCACACACACAAGCACAGCACACACAGCGCACACCCACCCCTGCAAATGCACGTGTGCACCCGCACAGCTCGCAGGCCTGGAGGCCGAAGTCAAGGCGAAGCTGGCCCAGATGACCCTGCTGCTGGCGGAGAACGAGGCACTGAGCACGCGCCAGAGGGCCCTGCAGAAGGCCATAGACCACAACACACTCAGCATAGAGGCGCTGCAGCAGGAGCAGCGGCAGCTCGACCCAGCGGCGGGCGGCGGACAGGCGCAGGGCCGCGCCGACGCCGCGAGCGGCCCGGCGGCGGGCCCGGGCGGCCGCAGCCCGATGGCCGCTGCCGCGGCTGCCGTCTCAGCCACGGGCACGCCCGACGCGCGCGCAGCGCGGGTGCGGGACTTCAGGGCGCGGTACATCAGCTATGTCACGGACATCAGGGCGACGCGCCTGCTGCCCGACGGGTCGGTGCGGCCGCTGCCAGAGGGGGACCCGCGGCTGCAGGAATTCCAGAGCCTCATAGACACGATCATGACTCTGCCGGCGGACGACCAGTACCTACTGCTGACAACCAACATGGAGACCGGCGAGCAGGCGCCACACGACCCGGGCATGCACAGCGCGGTGGCGCGGCAGATGCAGCTCAGGTGGGGTGGCGGAGCGCGGCGCACGTGACGTGGCTTGCCCTCATCATGTGTCGCGCGGCTTTCTGATAATCCAGGGACCATTCGAACACTCCTTGAAACCCTAGTCCAGACCCGCAGCCTCCTGTGCCAACCGTTCCCGCCTTGTTGCCGCCGCTTGCCGCCGCATACCCGCGATTTCGGTCCAAGCAGCCCAGACCAGCAGGTCCGCGTGCTAGCGGCCTGGCAGGTGTTCGAGTCCGCCCTGGCGCGCCTGCGGGCTGAGCGCCGCACACTTTGCGCCCGCCTGGCGGCGCTGCAAGCGCACCTCGAGAGCCTGCCGGCGGCCGAGTCGCGCTCGCTGGGCGAGCGGCATCACACTTTGGAGCCAGGCATCGCGAGCATGCTCAAGAGTGGCAGCCTGGAGGAGGTGGTGTGTGAGCTCGAGGACAACATGGTGCGCCGCCTGTGAAGCGCTTGGGGCCCCTGGGAGTGATCAGGGCACTGAGGGGTGGTCAGGTCCCCACGGATTGGCCAGGGGCCCTGGGGCTACCTTTGTGGGTGGCAGGGTGACGTCGCAACTGGTTGCCAGGGCCGGCTCAGCCGCCGGGCCGCGGGCGGGGCCGGCTAACTCTGGAGGCGGAGGGCGCTGCGGAGCGCACAGCAGCCGCGATCGATCAGCCGCTGCTCCATGCTCATCATACCCACTGCTCTCGCCTTTGCGCTCGCGCCGCGCGCAGGCGTGGGAGAACCAGCAATGGTGAGTGCAACCGCTTGGCTCACGCCTGCATAGCCCTTGCGCCCCGATCTGGCGCGCACACGCGCCAGCTCTCATTTTTCTTCAACCAGCCGCCAGCAGATTGCGTGCCAACCCGCCCCCCGCGTGGCCAAAACGCCGCCACGAGCAGCGCCGCCCCGCTCCTCCCCCCCGCGCCCCCGCCCTGCTGCATTTTTCATCATCTGGCCTGCCGTCAACACCATTCTCAGCCACCCTCAACCGCCCCGCCCCAGGGGCATCATGACGTGGTCCCTCAACCTGATGCTGGAGGAGCGCCAGATCAGCCATATGTGCGCGGCCGGCTGGCCCTACATGCCGAGCACCACCCAGGTGTTTTCCGTCTACATCTCGGAGGTGCTCGGCCATGCACCTGAGGCGCCCAAGTGACAGCGTCTCGGGGCGCTGATTTGGGCCCGCTGCGTGCCCGACGGTGCGAGTTTTTAGCTTCCCGGCTTCTCTTGGCTGGCGGTGCAGTGGGTGCGCCGCTGGGCATCTGTCTTGCTGGCGTTTTAGCTTTGTGGCAAACCTGACATCATATGACATCACGTGTCGCCAAGCAGCGGGCAAGAAGACCCCGTTGCCAAGGCAAAACCCTGGCTTGAAGGGGGGTCGACAGCCCCGGGGAGGCTGGGCAAACATACCGCAACATGGTGGCTTTCCAGGGTACTCTTGCTCGTCGTGTGGCAGCAGCCACAGCGCTTCGTGCATCAAGCAGTTGGACGACGCACTTTTAGCAGGGCAGGGCGGTTTTTCAAATTGTTGCCATCACAGCTGCCACAGTCTCCGGCATTGGCCTTCCGTGTGCCTCACTATGTTTTGCAAACACTCCCTTGACTTGGCGCGACGGAAAGGCACAACCGGCAAGGGGATGTAGATCGCGTTGCGGGGGAAAGGCACTGTATTGCGTTGCACGTAGCGCACCTTGGTCAGCGCACAGCTTTACCACCACACAACGGATGCTGTCGACGATCCCCCATATTGGGCACTCGCGTTCATCACGCTGGCGCACAACCATCGCCGCCCTTACGCCTCGAGGATTGATCGCATACGCGTTGCGTTTGGCTGCAAAGGACTGCCTCACACCGACCAGTCCAGGGTCAACGAAAATGAAATGCAATGCTTCCCCAACATCTCAAATTCGTCTCGTTCTAGATTGGATCCTTTACATATGTTTACTTGCTTTCCACCCAAAGCCTTTGAGCGCCGCACCGCAGTGCGCAACACCAACCAACTCAAAGTGTGTGACAAGACACTGGCCAACATCGTGTAAACCAACAACAGAGCTCCAAAACTTCAGCCTTGACACTTTGGAAACAAACCGCCTCCCAAGCACCCGTGCTGCGCGAGCCAGAGCGCCGCAGGCGCGAGCGTTGTGGGCCCGCTGCGCTCGCTCAAGCGCCACTTGAGAGACGTGCGCGCCAATGACCGCGCTGCCGGGGCCCCTTCGCCTCCTGGGGGCTCCATGCAGAGGAGCAGCACTCAAAAAGAAACAATGACAACGGTCAAAATAATATGCAGAGATGGGACTGCCAAGCATTGACCACACGCCGGCCGCGTCACCGCTTCCTGCAGAGCGCCATACCGTCGCCGACCGGCACTATGCTGAGCGTCACGCGAGGGTCCGCCAGCACCGCGGCGTTGAACTCGCGCAGGGCCACGGTTGCCTTGTCGTCCACCTGCGGTGAGGGCATTGAAGCAGCGGGCCCGGGGAAGGGGACTGCCTGGGCTCGGCCCACGCTCGGTGCCGCACCCTGCGAGCGGCGCGAGGCCAGCAGTAGCCTGCTGTCTGGACATCACAGGCTCTGAGTCAAACACCCTGCGCCCAGGCCGGCGCCCGCCAGCCCCGCCCAACTCCGCGGCCTGCCTGCTGGCTACCAGCCGTCCCGCACCCTCCCCCGGCCGCCGCGCCCACCGCGCATTGCATCCTCTCGAGCGTGACCCAGGGAGGTGCGGCATCCGCTCGCCTCCCACTCCCCAGCAGGCCTCCTGCCCGGCCCTCCTGCCCGGCCCTCCTGCCCAGCCCTCCTGCAGACCCCAGACAGCCCGTCGCAAACCTCACCTGTGAGTCAGCGACCTTGCCGTACCACAGCACGTTGTCCACCGCGATCAGCCCCCCCTGCCGCACCAGCTGCAGGCACAGCTCAAAGTACTTGCCGTAGGCCCGCTTGTCGGCGTCGATGAACGCAAAATCATAACCGCCGGGGCCCTCGTCGGCGAGCAGCTGCCGCAGGCTGTCCTCCGCGGGCGCCAGGCGGGCGTCGATCTGGGGTGGGGCCCAACGCGGAGGGCGGGGCGCGGCCGCACAGCACATCAAAGGCACAACAACCTGTAGTGTGCGGTGGAGCCCGTCCGGCGACGCAGCAGGAGCACCCTTGTCGCATGCAGATGCGCTTGTGCCCTGGCCGTTTGCCCGTCTCGCCTTGCGTTCGACCCCAGCGGCCCGCCAGAAGCGCTTCGCCACGTCCATGGAGCGCGCGTCCCTGTCGCACGCCACCAGATGCCCGTCGGGCGGCAGCGCCTGCGGGACACGGGCGGGGC